TAGCTAAAGTTGTGGCGATAATGACTAGAAATGAATTTCTCATCTAGGCACGTTCTGAAAGGCCAGTTCTGGGCATCCATAAAGAAGAAAACTCGTAAGGTAACCCAAAAGGGACAAAATGATAGCTGCTGTAATTCAACTGTCTTTAACAGCAGTCTGCCAGCCTGCCCAATTAGGTATTATTGGTCCTTTCGCACATATTGTAGTGAAAAAGAACTTGCTTTATCTTTAGAGAAACTTAGTTTTACTGCTGATTCAAACAAATTAAAAATATAGATTTGGTCTCCTTTCAGTTTTTTGAAATTTCCAATACTGAGTATTTGGTAACCAGTAGTACGCATTTGATTCCTCTAGTGATCATGAGCGCTGATATTACTATGTATACAAAATGCTTTAGAAATCAGCTCACAGTGCAATTTCCTACTGTGGTTTGAGTGAATGATTCATGACTACAAATTTAAATGGTAGGTGGATACAGAGAAAAGTCATCTGAGTTTTTATATGATGACCCCTTTCCAGGTAAAGTGTCACAAATAATTATTTCTCCTAAGTTTTTCTAGACTCCAGTGAAAATCTACCATGCCATTTTTCTCCCTCCTTAAGGGAACAGTTATCCATTGCTCAAAGACTAATGCGAGAGTCTGAAATCTTAATTGAACAAAACATATTTATCTCCCCCCAAATTTAAATTTAAATCCAAAATTTAAAAAGGTTGACCAACATTGCTTAAAATATTGTTCACCAAAGCTAGGAAAAAGTCCAAGCAACTATGAGTTACTTATGTCATAAGTAAAAAAGCATTTGGTGGCTTCACAATTTTTAATGTAGCCAAGTAGTGTTATAAAATTATGGTTCTTCTGACAAGGCGAAGGTTCCCCAGGGGTCTGTCTCTTGTGGGTGAAAAGGCAAAGTCATTTCATATCAGATGTGTGCTGTTTAGAGAACTGTTCTGGGTGCTAAGAAAGTTAACAATCATCCAAATGGTGATAACTTACTAAAATAATGCACACTGGTCAGCCCCAGAATACATGATTCACAAAAGGAACTGATATATACTCATTAATCCTAGAGGCTGAAGATCCAAGAACAATTACTGAAAGTTCTACATAACTTGCCATTTCTGTAATTTCCCAATTTGAGCCTTTTAAAACCTATGGAGTCCCTTAGACCTATGCTGTCTGAAATAGTAGCCACTAAGCAACATGTGACTATTTAAATTTAGGTTAATTAAAACGATATAAAACAAAAAATAATTCAGTTTCTCGGTTGGCAATAGTCCCATTTCAAGTGCTCAATATCCATGTGTGGCTGTTGGCTGCCATACTGTACAGTTCAGACACTGAATATTTTTGTCATTGCAGCAAGTTGTACAGATACACCTTGAAGATACTGTGGATTTGGTTCCAAACCACTGTAATAAGGCAAAGATCACAATAAAATGAGTCACACAAATTTTTTGCTTCCCAGTGTATATACGAAATGTATGTACCTTAATTAAAAATACTTTATTGCTCAAATATGTTAATGATCGTCTGTTTTTGCTGATGGAGGGTCTTGCCTCGATGTTGGCGGCTGCTGACTGACTAGGGTGGTGGTTGCTGAAGGTTTGGGTGGCTGTGGTAGTTTCTTAAATTAAGACAACAAGTAAGTTTGCTGCATTGATTGACTCTTTCATTCAGGAAAGATTTCTGTATAGCATGCAATGCTGTTTGATAGCATTTTACCCACTGTAGAAATTCTTACAAAATTGGAGTCAATCCTCTCAAACTTTGTCACTGCTTTATCAATCCAGTTTATGTAATATTCTAAATCCTCTGTTGTCATTTCAGCAATGCTTAGAGCATCTTCACTTTCTTTGCTCATCCTGAAGAAGCACCTCCTCATTTGTTCCAGTTTTATTATGAGATTGCAACAATTCAGTTGCATCTTCAGGTTCCACTTCTAAATCTAGTTCTCTTGCTATTTCCATTGCATCTGCAGTTGCTTCCTCCACTGAAGTCTTGAACCCCTCAAAGTCATCCATGAGAGTTGGAATCAACTTTTCCCAACTCCTCTTAACGTTGGTATGTTGACCTCCTCCCGTGAATCATGAATGTTTTTAAAGACATCTACAATGGTGAATCTTTTCCAAAGGCTTTTAATTTACTTTGCCCAGATCCATCAGAGGAATAACTGTCTGTGGTAGCTGCAGCCTTATGAAATATATTTCTTAAATAATAAGACTTGAAAGTGAAAATTACTTCTTGATCCATGGGCTGTAGAATGGATGTCGTGTTAGCAGGCATGAAAACAACATAAACCTCCTTTTACATCTCCATCAGAGCTCTTGGTTGATGAGTTACATTGTCAATGAGCAGCAATATTTTGAAAGATATATATATTTTTTCTGAGCAGTAGGTCTCAACAGTTGCTTAAAATATTCAATAAACCTTGGTGTAAATAGACATGCTCTTGTGTTGTTCTTTTGAGAGAGCACAGGCAGAGTAGATTTAGCATAATTCTTAAGGGCCTTAGGACTTTCAGAATGGTAAGTGAGCACTGTTCTACTTCAAGTCACCAGCTGCATTAGCCCCTAACAAGAGAGTCAACCTGTCCTTTGAAGCTTTGAAATAATACATCGATTTCTCCTCTCTAGCTAGGAAAGTCCTAGATGACATCTTCTTGCAGTAAAAGGCTACTTCCTCTACACTGAAGATCTGTTATTTAGTGTAGCCACCTTCATCAATTATCTGACCTAGATCTTCTGGATAACTTGCTGCAGCTTGTATATCAGCACTTGCTGCTTCACCTTGTACTTTTATGTTATAGAGACAGTTTCTTTTCTTAAACCTCATGAACCAACCTCTGCTAGCTTCCCACTTTTCTTCTGCAGCTTCCTAACCTCTCTCAGCCTTCATAGAGTCAAAGAGAGTTAGGGCCTTGATCTGGATTAGGCTTTGGCTCAAAAGAATGTTGTAAGGTTTGCTCTTCTCTCCAGACCACTGAAACTTTCTCCATATTGGCAATGAGGCTATTTCACCTTCTTATCATTCATGTATTCACTGGAGTAGCACTTTTAATTTCCTTTGCATTCACAACTTGGCTAACTGTTTGGCACAAAAGGCCTAGTTTTGGCCTGTCTCAGCTTTCAATATGTCTTCCTCCCTAAACTTAATCATTTCTAGATTTTGATTTGAGGTGAGAGACATGCAACTGTTCTTTTCACTTGAACACTTAGAGGCTGTTGTAGGGTTGTTAATTGACCTAATTTCAATATTGTTGTGTCTCAGGGAATAGAGAGGCCTGAGGCGAGGGAGTGAGATGAGAAATAGTCAGTTGGAGCAGTCAGAGCCACACATTTATGAATTTTTACCATCTTATATGAGCATGTTTCATGGCACCCCAAGACAATTACAATAGTAACATCAAAGGCTGATCATAGATCATTATAACCAATTGAATAATAATGAAAAAGTTTGAAATATTATGAGAATTACTAAAATGTGACACAGAGACATGAGGAGAGTACACGTTGCTGGAAAAATGCTTGAAAGATGCTTGACGTGGCGTTGCCATAAACATAGAATTTGTTTTAAAAAAAGAGCAATATCTGCAACATGCAATAAAGGGAAGTGCAATACAATGAAATATTCCTGTATTGGATAGTGCTGCCTTAATTAAAGAAGAAAATAGCTGGGCGTGGTGGCTCACGCCTGTAATCCCAACACTTTAGGCGGTCGAGACGGGCGGATCATGAGGTCAGGAGATCGAGACCATGCTGGTTAACACGGTGAAACCCCGTCTCTACTAAAATATACAAAAAATTAGCCAAGCGTGGTTGTGGGCGCCTGTAGTACCAGCTACTCAGGAGGCTGAGGCAGGAGAATGGCATGAACCTGGGAGGCGGATCTTGCAGTTAGCCAAGATTGTGCCATTGCACTCCAGCCTGGGCAACAGAGCGAGACTCCGTTTCAAAAAAACAAGAAAAAAAAAAAAAAGAAGAAAATAAATATTTATTGAGAAATTACAATGTGACAGACATCATATTTTTCTTTTTCTTATTTCACTGTGAAGAAAAGAGCTTAAGTCACTTGTCCAAGTCATATAACTGATACGGGGCAGAGCTACGACTCAAGCTAGTTTCTTTTGATAAAAGCCCAGTGTCATTTCCAAGCATTCCAAGTGTTGGCTCATCCATTCATCCATCTAACACATACTTACTGAGAGAGTGACTGTATATTTTAATCATGATGTCAGGACAACATGTGAAAACTGTTATTGAACAAACTGGACCCTCTGCTTACTGAGCACCTTGCTAGCAACTGGAGCTGTATGGTTAGAAATGCCAAATGTAATTCTACCTTCATAGAACTTATAGGCTCATGGGGGAGTCAAACTAAATATATAATCCCCAAATTATTTAGCAGCCACAATTGTGAAAGTATCAAACATGAAAGCCCATCCGTTTTGGGAGAGGCTTCCGAATCCCATTAAATAATGACAACAATCATAATTAACAATCAGGATTTAGCTTCCAATGCCTGGGAAGTTCAAATGAGTAAGGTAAATCTATGACACTGGTGGCCTCCTGATTGATGAGTCCACTGTAATCTCTTTTTCCTGGTAAACAGAGAGATCTATTTCCTTCAAGGTCATCCTGGGTTGGCATGACCAACTTCAATTTCATCTGATTCTCCTTGGGTAGAAGTATTTTTGAGACGAAGAGCTGAGATCGGCTAATTTGTCAACATTACAAAGCAGGAGACTTATCCTCGTAACTCTCTTCCCTCATTGAACCTTCCCAGCAGCAGCTGCTGACATATGAACCTCGCAGTTGAAGATGCCATAGCATGGCTATTTCTTGACTGCACTGCTGAGGGTAAGATAGTGAGAAAATGTTTTTTCCTAGCAATTTCTTCGTCATTTTTAACAGGGTCAAACTCAAATACTCATAAAGGGAGATTGAGAGCCAATATGCTATACCATCAAATTTAAAAAGCTAAAAAAACAAAGCCATAAACTGTTATCATTTCCGGTATTTTATTCCTTCTAATGCTAGCCCATTAGTTTCAATAAAAGAACAACAGAATGTCCATTTCACCGTAACTTGACATGCTTATTATGCCAATATGATTAGTTTTTGCAAAACACTCATGTACTGGTTATAGTTTGTAGAAAAATTGATTTCACAGAACCAGATAAATTAGAATTGGAAACATTCTATTAGGTCACAAGGGGCATCCCCTGGGGCTAGTATAGAATTAATCCCCAGTTCCCAGTGTATTATCTAATGGAGTTTTCTATCAGGTTTTGATGGGCTTACGTATTTATTATAGGCTGGCAATACGTACCACTAAAAATTATACTAATCCATCTGAGAAATAAAATTCTAGAAAAATAAGAGTCTGCTGAGCACTAATTTTACTTTGGTGAATACATTTTTAATATACTGGTGTTTATAGCCTCTCATCTTATAAGAGGCAGGGTAGTAGCACTGGATCATGGGTTGGCATTACAATCAAATAGTGAATTTACATATCTTAAGTTGCAAGAATTTCCCCAGACAAAATTTCCCATCAGATTTACACAAAATGTGGTATGAATTTTTGATTCCCAAGAATGGCTTATTTTGCATAAAGGAAATTGAATCCTGTACCTCAAGCAAGTGGCTGCAATCAAGCACTTGACTAGCCTGACATTTTCATCTTCTTAGGCACTGTGTAGTGAGCTATGACTCCGGGACAGATATTTGCGAGAGGATGGTGCGTGCAGCTCTTAACTAGAGGGCTGGGAGTGCGGTGCGGTGAGGGAGTTGGCTGGTGGTGCCCAAACTCCACATGTCCCGCTTTCTTCCTCAGCATGGCTGCTTCTTGGGCAGTGACTCAGAGAGGGAGAAAAGCAGAGAAGAAGGAGATGGTTTCTCCAAATAAAATTTACATACACTCTTCTACATACAGTCTACCCAAAAACTCCTGAGATCTCCCAGGTCAGGGTAGGATTGCCTCTCTGCTTCCACATGTAGCATTCGAGAATTCTCTTCCCCCATTAAGACCATCCTTGAAGTTCATTGTCACTCGCCTATTGAAGATGTTGGAGAAAAGTACATGATGTGATTTTCCTCAGTCCTACTAGGTGGTTTCTTCACCCTTTGCTCCTTCACAGAGATAACAAGCAGAAAGTTGGATGTGGGCTCAGTTGTGGGGTGTTGGTGGGGAAGGAAGTCAGGTTTTGCTTGTAAAAAAGCAGCGAGGGAGGCACAGAAGTGTAACGTTCAGCCAAATAATGCTTTGTTCCACTTGTTCACGTTCTCATGTCCCTGTGTGAAAGCCTAGATGAAATCCTTGTTGTTCAGGATGCGGCTGATGGGTATTATGTCTGGAGAGCATCCCAGTGAAGGTCTTATACATCTTTTATACACCTGCATGCTAAATGAGCAGGAACATCCAGATGCTGAGGAAGACTTATGAATTTGTTGTGAATTATGCAAAAAGTAATTTTGTATGTCCAGAAAGTAGCACTATCAGTAGTACAGTTTTTCTAAACTCTCCATAATTTAGGAGAATACAAACTGAAAGGCTGTCAAACAGCCACGAGGCCTAACTGCTCAGCAGAGTGTATCAGCTTCAACAGGTGCCAGTCACAGAGAAGGCCTTGCCCACTAGGGATTCTTTTATACCCAAAGCAGAAGCCAGTAAAACTGCTCCAGGAGGTTAAAAAAGGCAGGGACCTTAGCCACGTTAACTCTCAGATGGTGGCAGTAAAGACAGGTTTATCCATGGGCTCTGGCAAAGTGAAGATGGTGAAACGATTCTGAAGAAAGGAAGCCAGGGAGCTGTGCTCTTGGGGTCAGACAGAATTTCAGTAGTGATCAAGGTCCACCTTTGCCACTCAAAGTGTGGCCCATGAACCAGAAGAATCAGCATGACCTGGAAACTTACGCTACCTACAGAATCTTGAGCCCTACCTCAAACTTACTGAATCAGAAATACACATTTTCCGAAACTCCAGGTGATTTGTTTGCACATGAAGATTTGAGAAGCACTGATATACACCATTTCCCTAGTGGTTTTCCCACTAGTAGAAGCCTGAACTTACTAAGAAGGGACACAGATTTTCTAGCCCAGTGAAAAGTTGATCTCATTCTAATTTCAGTAAAAGCCAATGAATGACTGACTATGCTTTCCTTCATTACTTATTTTTTATTTTTTGACCACTCCCATTGTTTCCTTTTGGGAACAATTCCTCACTGCATGTGATTCTGGCAAGGCTGTCAGTCATATAGGCTGGGCACTTGATTGAGGTTGGCTAGAAACAATTTGTTTTTCTCCTGGGAATCGATCTAGAGAAGAGTGTCTTTATTCTTCTGAAATCCTAAGGTGCAGGAAAAATATAGGCTTGGGACTGGGACTGGCAGGGATATCTTAGCTACCATATGTAGAGAAAATCTGCTTGAGAATGAAGCCAGAGGAGCCAGGCAGAGCAGAAAGGTAGAGAGAGAGAAATCATTTGAGCACCTGAGACCGGTTGTGCCCAAAGGCAGACAACCCTGAGACTTTCGAGTCGAGCGAGCCAATAAATTCAGTTTAGCTTAAAGCAGGTTTAAGTTAGTTTTTTTGTCATTTGTATCTTTAAAAAAAAGTGGTTCTGACCAATATATTCCTGAAATTGGATCATCAGATCTTCCAAACCAGAAACTTTGACATCTGGAAACCTGGAAATAAATGAAGAGAATAAGTTCATTATAAAGTTCACAACCTGTAATTTGACCACTGTGCGAGTGAGTTTGTGTGAATATCTGTAAGAATAATCTGAGTATAAATGTAGAAGGTTTAAAACTTTTAGGCACTCATGAGCCCTAAATACCAGTTATCTGGATAATTGCATCAGGCTGTGTTTATTTTCTGGATTTAGAGACAATGTCTATTGAAATTAATATTCAAATTTATGCCAACTAATATGCAAATCAGGTTGGCTTTGGTGCTTTAAAAACAAGAGAATAGGATTGCAGCACTGGCATTTCAATGGTGCTGATGCTTTGATGAAAGAAGACAAAGAGGGCTAGAATGCAGATGAAACATGTTTCCTTGGACTACCCAATGCAAATGGGAAATTTATAGCTCTGTAAACTGTTTTAAAACATAAAACAATACCTCAATTTAATAGAGCAGCTTAACCATTCATTAATTTACTCAGTGCAAACACTGCAACTTTCAGAAATGACGCTACCCATAAATACAATCTACAACCACAAAAAATTGAAAAAAATACAAAAGAAAAGATGTGCTTTTACTCCTGCCAAATTTCAAAATCTAAATCTACAATTGTTTGTTCCACTTGAAACACTGAAGCCTGCTTCTCTTCTATAATCAATTGATATCCACTCTTGGACATATATTTCACCCTTATGTGTCTAGTTCAATATGATGCATGGTATGTATACATATTTTTAAATTATTCATTAAAATTAGGTTAAGTTATAACAGAAACTTGAAAAGTAGTAGCTTAAATAAGGTAGAAATACTTTTATTTCTTAATAAAAAAAGTGCATGGAGTTGGACAGCCCCGGGCCAGTAGAGTGCCTCCACGGTTATTGAGAACTAAAGATTCTTCCAGATTCTCAAACAGAGAGTATAGAATGTGGTGCTCATCTTCTATGTTCAAGGCAACTGCTGGGTCACTCTAGCCATAAAATCCAGTTTCCCAGCAGCAGGATGGAAAAAAAGAAGAGTTTGCCACTTTTTTTTTTTTAGAAAAAACTTGCCGGAGGAAGTTCCAAAAGGTTATACTTTTACAAAGTATATCTGCTTACATCTCATTAATCAGAATTTATTTCTATGCCATGCGTAGCTACGGGAGAAGCTGGAAAATGTGGTCTTTTAGCTGGGAGGCCATGTGCCCTGATAAAAATCATTATTCTGTTAATTTGGGAGAGAAACAGAGAACAAGAATGTCATTCGATAACTCTGCTCCAAATATTAAATATGCATGTGTTTATCAATTTATTTTGTGTTTCTCCCACTGGAAACTAGCTCCACATGGGCAAAGACTTTGTTTTCTTCATGGTTGTAGCCTTAATATTATTTTATATTTCTCTTCTCTGAGTTTTTTCCAGTAGTTTAAGAACATTGATCAACCAGACTGCTGTGTTGAGAAGAATACAGACACCGCATTCAGATTCAGTGAGAAAAGGTGCTTTGATCAACTAATATTGTCTGCAGTGGACCATCCATGTGTGTCGGGTTTTACTATTCCTGGCTTAAGCATTCTCTGTAACCACGAGCTTGCAACTAAAATGCTTAGAAATGTATAGCTACCGTAAAGCCAGTTTAAATCTATATGCCAAAAGGCCTTATTTAAATTTGTTGTGTCCAGTGTTTTACTCTAAGTAAAGATAGTATTCTCTGCAAGTTTGTTTGTTTGTTTGTTTTTTCCGTATGTGGAACTCTCTTGTGTAGTTGTAAATTTCACAGGGATCCAGAGTGTTGCTAAAGGAATTATATGCAAATTCCAGGTTACACTTAGTTGGCAAACTCTTACTAGAAAGTTGCTGGGAAAAGAGAGTTTTGCTTTTCTTTAAAAGACAAAATGGAAAAACAGGTCATGAGTCTTATGCTGTCAGAGCAGAGATGCAACTCTATGACACGTGTATCTTCTGATTCATTTAGAAAGCAAGAGGGGGCCTGGAGGAGTGATAAGGACTTTTCAAGTGCAACACAAATGCTGGAAAGAAAAGCTTAGCTTTCTCTTTATTTAGCTCCAACAAGCCAAGCATGGGGACAAAAAGGGCAGAGTTAAATTAAACCACAATTAAAAATAGCTAAGACTATTGAGTAAAGCACCAAATTGCATCTAAAAAATGATGTCTTTAAAAAGCTGTCATTGCAGCAACCTTCTTTTTGTGCCCCACACAACACATTTCATCAGCATTGGTGACAAGACAGTGACTTGGTGAGGCCGTGATTCTTTCAGAGGGAGGGAATTCTGCAACCCCCCACAAAGATAAACTGGAATTTTCAGAGTATGGTTTGAAAAGGCCCCTTAAAGACTCTTATACACATCCCTTGGGGCACGTGTCCCTCTCTCTGATGACTTACCCACTTGTGAATCAGGAATTACTGCCTTATTGGAATGATCTGCATTGCTATTTAATTTTTGTCTTGTTTAGCTGCATCCATGGAGAATGGCCCATTTGTATATAATATCTGGTAATTCCAGGTCTTAGTTTGGATTCTTTCAAAAACAAAGTTTAAGGGTCTTGGAAGCAGATTGTTTATCTGGTAGGTGGTCTCAGAAGGAGTGAGAAAACAGATTAAGACAGGGAAGGAGGAAAATATATGAGTGTGTTATTGAGGTCACACTATGGGCAACAGGGTCTTCATTATACCAGGACACAGAAAAGTATACAAATACATCCCAGAATTGTCCCTCTGAAGTATGGAAGTTTGGTGCATTTCTGCACTGACACCCTTCCTATTGGTTGCGTGTTGCCCCAGGGGCGTTAGCATATAGCAGCCCCCGACTTTGGGGCTATGCACTTGTGTGGACAGAGTACTCCCTGGCATCAGAGAATCTTGCTCATTACTGGCTTGCAGAAAGGCTCATGAGACCTTGATTTGAGATGGACAATGACAGAACAAGGTGAGTCTGGCATTTACTTGGGGCTGTCTGCTGCAGCTACAGCTAAAGTCAGAGGTGGATTGAGGGGGAATGATGGGGAGGGAGAAGGTGGGTACCAGAGGTGTCTGCTGCAGTCTCTGTCTGTGAACTGGAACTCAGTTAATGCTCAGCAGTTTGATTTAGGCCTCACGGCTATCATCAATGCATTTTTTTTTTTTTGAGATGGGGTCTCGCTCTGTTGCCAGGCAGGAGTGCAGTGGCACGATCTCAGCTCATTGAAACCTCCACCTCCCAGGTTCAAGCGATTCTCCTGCCTCAGCCTCCTAAGTAGCTGGGACTATAGGCTTTTATTAGAGATGGGGTTTCACCATGTTGGCCAGGATAGTCTCAATCTCTTGACCTCATGATCCGCCCACCTCGGCCTCCCAAAGTGCTGGGATTACAGGCATAAGCCACTGTGCCCCGCCCATCAATGCATTTGATTATACATTTTTAACTAAGGAGACAATTTAAAATTGGTGCTAACCTAAAGTTAACAAAGTGAGGACTAACATCACAGTAGCCATCTTACATCTTATACAGATGTAATTTAAATCCTTGGAGTCTCCTCTCTCTTTCTTCCTGCTGTTTAACTTTCAAATATCCCTTCTGCAAGCTACTCTCTACCCAAGGTAGGGATGGAAAAGCAAGGTGGTGAAAATAGAATCTGTCAAATACTGTCACTTGTTAGAAACTCTTTTAAAAGTCCTTATGGAATAGGAAGCTGAGATTGTTGGCCAAAATGAGATTTGGGGATTACATGCAATTTGAATTTCTCCATGCTATTCAATTTCTATAGTTAATTGGGACATGACTCATAAGTCTAAATAATTGGCATAGAACGCCAAAAAGAAAGATGCATGAACTGCTTATTATTGATGCATCTGCATTTCCTGTGTGTGGTGGCCATGGTGGGCAAAGGATGCAGGGGAAGCAGAGCCTGGTGGAGCCTGCAAGGCTTTGGGTCTGAGCCTGCCCTTGGCTAGCCATGAGACACAGGGCAAGATAACCATCCTCACTGAGCCTCTGTTTCCTCAGCTATAAAACAGAAGCAGTAATAGCTTCCTTGCAGGGTTATTGAGAGGATTAAGTATAATTATGCAAAATGTCTGGCATATTGAAACTGTAGTGTTAACAAGCCAATGGATAAATAAATGAAAAATCTCATTTCTATTTTGTATCCTACTTTGACTTAGTTTCTGGGTAAAGTTTTCATTTACTGAAACCAACTGCTTTGACTCATTTTGACTTAGTCATTGAATGTAAAATTAGCAAGTCCCTTGGGTTGATATTGAGCTGAAAATACAGATGCCAGGAGGTCAGCACTTTCCCCATTTTACCCATTCCAAGAAGATGGAGCCATCTCAGTGAACAGAACGACTGCTCCTAAACCCAGAGTATCCAGCAGTAACTGGTCCCACAGCGGTCCCCCTCCTGTGGCCACTGCTCGTGTTCTGGACATGGTGAGAAGAAAGGCAGGTCCAGAGCAGGATGGATGGGGGCAACCTTTGGTGGTTCCTCATCATCCCAAGCTGTCTGGATCTATTGTAGGGGAGGATTTTGGCTCAGTCTGCAGCCCAAGGTAGACCACTGTGGAAAGCAACAGGGCCCTGGGCTTCAAATCTGGAGGTCCATGAAGACTTTCCAAGAGATACACAGGCGTGCTTAGATTTAAGGGACTCTATTTCCAGTTCATCAACTTTCATATGTACTCCTTCTAAACTGAGTAGAGGTGACCTGAAAACAAGACTGTTTCTTTCTTCCATATTCCCTTTAATAGTCTCCCTTCTACTTCACTAGAGAAAAGCAAGTGTCCCTCACCTATCTCAAAGCATACCACAGTACATGCCCAGGATGTCAAAAAGTCTGTGACTCCAAACAAAGGGACAAGTAGAAATACACTACTCTTTGTTTGTTTGTTTGTTTTGAAAGGGTCTTACTCTGTTGCTCAGGCTGGAGTGCAGTGGTGCGATCTCAGCTCACAGCAGCCTCAATCTCTCAGGCTCAAGTAATTCTCCCACCTCAGCCTCCTGAGTAGCTGGGATTACAGGTGTG